TCCTTACTAAAAACTGTAGCAAGGTCGTGATACTCGGGCGGCACGGAGATCAGATTCGGAGGGGGCGCTGAATGCGCAGCCGGACTCCTCTCCGGAGCCGCGGACTTCAGACAATGCGCGTGGCAAGAGACACTCCAGCTGGTGACGGTCGAGGTTATCCAGTTCAAGTGGGGATTGTGCCGACGTAACCAGGGGAGACCCAACACAGCGGGTAACAGTGGAGAGGTGATCACATACATCTGGATAGTTTCTCTATGATTCCCCGAGATGATCATGGACAAGGGTCGGGTGCGATCTGTGACCGTAGCGAGGAGTCTGCCGTCAAGGGCGTTGATAATTTTCGGGGTGTCAAGTAGCTCGAGAGGGGCACGAATCTGTGTGGCAAACTCCTGATCAATAAAGTTGTCGTCAGCACCCGAATCAATTAAAACCTGCACCAGGAAAACTCGTGAATCCATGTGAAGACTGGCCGGCAACGTGAGCCGAGGAGAAGAGCAGGGGAAAACAGAGGTTTGACTCACCAGAGTGCTCTTCTTCACTGGTGAGTCCGGTCTTTTAACGGCTCCTGGCAGCTGGCAGCGTAGTGTCCTGCTTGTCCACAATAAAGGCACAGTCGCTCTCGCGTTCTCCTCTCTCGCTCCGGGAGGGAGAGGCGAGCCCGGCCGAGCTGCATGGGCTCTTCCAGAGGAGCCGAGGGGGGGACCGCCTGCTCAGGGCTGCAGGAAGGAGGGGCTGGAGGCTTTGGGGAGAAAGCTGGAGAAGGCGTCAGTCTCCCTATCCTGGCTGATTTCTCCCTCCTCTGCTCTCGTATCCTATTATCAACCTTAATTGCTAAGGAAATGAGTTCCTCGAGAGAGGAGGGTGCGTCAAGAGATGCCAACTCATCTTTCAATTCTTCAGATAAATTGCGCAAAAACAATGTCATCAGAGCAGGCTCATCCCATCCACATTCTGCAGCTAAAATCCTAAATGAAATTGAATAATTTTCAGCTGACTGCGAACCCTGCTTCAAATCAAACAACCTGTTTAAGGCTTCACGTCCCTTAACGGGGTGGTCAAAAATTTTACAGAGCTCGGTGTCATGGCTTTGTCAATGCTCCTGACCCACATGCAGAAGGACACTCAGGAGAAGAGGGTTTGAAATAAAGGTTTTATTTACAGAGAACAAGGAATGTGTGATGAGGGTTAATCCGGCTGGGATGTCGACGAGGGTCTGGTGGGTGGCTGGGTGGGCAGGCCGTGCGGTGGTCGGTGCAGTGGGGGTGAATAGTTGAGGCGTACCGGTTGTGAGCAGGGTTGTCCA